AGCCTAGTTTCCCATGATACATAACTTTGAGTGACTAGTTAAGCTAATATTATGCAAAATATTTTTATTTAAATATTATTTTGAACTTGAATTATGTAAGAGTCAATCTTAACCCCAATATTCATTTTGTTAAAATTCAAATATTGTCAATAGCGAATGAAGAGCAAGTAAAAATATTTCAAAAACGTTCAAAGCTAACCGGTTTACGGTAATGTAGTTTTAAAAATTTATAATGGTTTATTATTGCCGTGTTATTATCTTATATTTAATTTTTATTATAAAATACCTTTGTCTCAAGTGGTTATTTTGTCACAAAAAAAATTTCAAGCTTTAAGTTGAAACATTACGTCTCATTTGTTTTTTGTTTCTTTTTCAACTTTTTAACCTTTAACCAGTTGAGACGTAATGTTACGTATCTAAATCTAGATTCGAAACGTAACTAAAATACGTCTCAAACATAGACTTTTTATCTTTGCGTTACGTCTTCAAAGGTTACACTTTAGAAAGTAAAAAAAAAAAAAAAGAAAGACACAATGTACATTGTGTTTGTACATGTACCAGTTTTTTACAAAAGGTTTTTTTAATTACAATAGCCTTGAAAAACGTATAAGTTTGTTAATAAATAAACAAATTTGTCAAATTCCGCAATTCATTAACGAGTTACAGTATTCAGCAATGCGTTTGTTGAGACATTTGTAACTTTAAAAAAATCATTTTTTAAAATATTTTTTAAAAATAAACAATGGTTATTAGCTACCCAGCCAGCTCAAATCAGAAAATAAGTTACGCTTGGTTTCAGTTGCGCGTTTAAAACCTTCGAAAACAAAAATGATAACACGTGTTAAGAATGATTTTCATTCCGTGAAATTAACTATTACTATTTAAAATAAATACTAGTTTAAATAAGATTGGTGTCATTGTTACGGAAACATAACCCTATCGGCACATCTAGTTTCTTTTTCGGAAATAAAACCTATATAGGCACGTGTTTTTCACGATCCAGGGGTAAACCAAAAGCACGTGTATATTACGGGCAGTTTTACTAGAGTTTAACACGTGATTTTTGAGGTTTTAAAGTCAAATTTAAAAGTCGCAGATTTTTATCAGTGGTTTCACATTCCTTACGGACAGTTATCAAAATATAATACTACGTTTCCATAACGGTGAAACCATTAATACTTTAATTGGTATTTATGGTAAATAGTAATAGTTAATTTCACGGAATAAAAACCATTTAGGATACGTGTTATTCTTTTTGTTTTAGAAGGTTTTAAAGACGCAAGAGAAACCAAGCATAACTATTTTCTGAGTTGTGCCGGCTAGGAATATTATATTATTATAACTTTTCGTAAGGAATGTAAACCACTAATAAAACCATGCGATATTTAAATTTGACTTTAAAAAAATCTGTATATATACGGCTAAAACTGCCTGTAATATACAGGTATTTTTGGTTTACATCTGGATTGTAACAAACACATTTCTATACAGGTTTTAATTCTGAAAAAGAAACTAGATGTGCCGTTTGGGTAGCTATCATCGTTTATTTATATAGTAAAATTGATTCGTCTCCATTCCCCTATAACATTTTTAATTTACGTTAGGTATTGTAACGTAAACGAGATTCATTACGTTACCTACAAAATGTCCGTTATTTTTACGTACCCTAGACGTAACAATTTACATAACGTCACGTAACATTGTAACGTAATATTACAAAGTATCATTGTAAAGTAACGTTTTTGTTCGAATAAATATATTCGAACTATAAAAATACTATATTCCAATAATGTTCGAATAATTTTATAATATTGCAATAATTATCAAACAATTCGTTTTAAAATTTAGAACAAAAATATTTTAGTTTTATAATAATTTTCGATTCGATTTTTATTCAGTTTGAAAATTTAAAATGATCGTTTTTATTCTGTTCTCGTTCTTGAAAAAAGTTTCGTTTTATGTTTCGTTAACGAAAAGATTTTTTTTTCGTTTTCAATTTTGCTCTCGTTCACGAAGATGTCATTGCTCAATATGCCATGAGTTCATTATTTTTTCAAAGAAATAAATTCTGTTTTAATAAATATGAAATAACAACTTTTTATTTATTTTTTGATAAAGTTGGATAAAGTTATTTTTATTGTTCGCAATGCAAATTTTGTTATTGTTTTTTTGTTTGAGGCATTTTTGAATACTTTTATATCCAATAATTAAAAAAAAACAATTGTTTTAAAAGTGACGTTAATTAGTGAACATTAGTTACAACAAACATGTATGTAAACTATTTTAAACAATAGTGGCTAACACGGCAAAAAGTAAATAAAATAACGCATTCATACAATATGGCTTTTCATTGAGGAATGATTCAGTCGGCTACAAAGCATAATATATTGTTTGCTATCGTGTTCTGTATATTTACTCGTTGAGATTGTCAAAGTTAAAAAAATCTTTTTATTAAACTTCATCCTAATCTAAATGGAAAAGACGTAGAATATTTCAAAAGATTGGCGTTGAATTTGAATGACTTGATAAATCTGGTTGCTTCTGAAAAGATTATGCCAAACTGACAAATATGTCGTTTGCAGTAAGTCTGTTGATTACTAAACAAAAGAAGACACACAGTATAGTGGAAAATCTCATTTGTCTCTTGCAATGACTTGTGTTGTTTTGGGGTAAGATTGTGAGAAAAATTGGAAGGAATCCTGTTGTCAAATAACACGGTTCTTAGGAGATTTGCTCTTATATCTAATGATATAAAGGAGCAATACTAAATTTTACTACTAATTTTTAAATATTACTGAATAAAGACAATGCCTACTTTTGTCTTTTCTCCATTAAACTAGACGAGTCAACCGAGTTCAGCTAATTGTAATTACACTAATCAGTGGAGGAACTCTTTGATTTAATTTTTTTAATTTAGTGTTGTTGGGCATTAAAGCGTTATAATCCAACAAATTCAAGACATCAATGTAGTATAAAATAATAAATAACTAATGTAATAGTGCGCATACTATAAAGTTATGAAATGTTGATTAACAAAAAACTTGGTTTTGGTCACAAGATCAAAAGATTTGAAAATTTAGAAAAATGAGCTCAATGTTGTAATCATTGGAACAAGTAGAGTGTATTTCTCTTTTTACAGTTGTTTCAGTTATACCAATTATGCAAATTTTAAAATATGTTCAAACTCTAAAAGTTTTTTTGTAGCGTATATTTAAATAAAAAGTTAAAAAATAATAAAAACTTGTTTTGCAAAATTTAGTAAAAAGAACTTTAAATAAATGAATGGCTCAGTTTTTGAACCAGAATTCAGAGTTTAAAACCAGGTACGGACTAAGACTTATTTTGGCCTGGGGCTGTAAATATTGCAAGACCTAATGTTGCGGTCACCTAAAAATGTTGTGCGGGTTTACTTTTATTTTGGTTAGCTCCTGACTTCAAATCTGTTGTTTATTTTTGTCTTCTTGAAAAATTTACCATTTTCAAATGGTCAACCGAATCGATATTTCCTGTAAATTGTTTTTTTTTCCGGACATTTCTTTTGTTTAACGTTTTGATATTTCCGCAATCAACTTTTTGAGGTTCCTGTCTTTAAGAAAATTTTGTTTTATTTTTATGTAGTGACACGCTGATAGAAAATAATCCTTAACTGCCTCAGCGACACCTAAAACACCGAAGTATTTAGTTTTTTTTTTTTTGTAGTTGAGAAAGAAAACTTTTTTTTTTTGCTCCTATGCAACGTTATACATAATATTATTTTTTGGCTTGAAAAAATTGACCGTATATTTCAGAAATGACATTCTATTGATTGTTATAGTTTCTATTAAGAGTTTTGTATATTTCTTTTAGACTTTTCCATGATAAATGCAAAATAAATGCTTTTATTTGCGAATCTTCAGTAACTCTTGTATCTTCCAGAATCTTCCTGTTGCAATTAAATACAACTCAAAATCTTTTACTACTCACAAAAAAATGAATGATCAATCATCAAATTTTCTGCGTTAACGAAAGTGACCATAAAATTAACAATGAATAAACTTAAATAAAATACTATATCTCTATTAATTTAATCGCAACGCCTCCCGAGAAATTGATTAAAAAAAAAAAATTACCTGGTTCCTTTAAAAAAAAATACACGGTTTAAAAGCCTATTTTTTTCATGAAACTGGAGCTGTAGGGCTAGACAAGTTTAAATTTAAGTTTTAAACAGTTTTATTTTACTTCCTGGCCAGATCATTAACTTTTCTAGTGTGACTTTTAATTCAACATTCTTAACTTTCTGCGTAAATTTGATATGAAACTTAGGTGTTTTCAATTACTGTAAATAAATTTTAAAAAATTTTTTAGCAGAAAAAAATTAAAATAGCGGTCAAATTTAAAAGCAGTGGTTTATGTACCAGACACATGCTATTATTTAGGTAAAACCAATTTTATAGATAAGCAAATCAAAAAGCTTTTGATTTGCTTATCTATGAGTCAAAGCCCATTGATATGAAATCAAGTAAAAATTAAAGTATACAAAAAATTAAAATTAAACCTTTTATTTTTTAACTAAATTGCTAAATTATTGATTTAACCCATTCCGTGACATTTTATAAATATATCTCATTAAGATACATGTACAACAACAATTCAACAAACAACAGCAACATCAACAAAAACAACAACTTACAAGTATTGTCCAATAAAAGTGTTTATAAAAATATTACTTTTAAATTAAAAGCCAGCACCTTTCCAATATTAAAACAGTAGAAACCTGTATTTGCATTTAAGTTACTATTTTACTTATTTTCTTGTAGAAATAACGATTAAATAAAATAACGAAATAAAATGGTAATAATATTATATATATATACATACACAAATACATACACACACAAATATATATATATATATATATATATATATATATATATATATATATATATATATATATATATATATATATATATATATATATATATATATATATCAATAAATATATATATATATATAATCCTTGAATAATCCTAAAACAGAAAAAAACAATATCTAATTTAAAATAAAAAATGTTAAAATAATAACGGGCGTTAAAAAACTGGGGCTTATTGCGGTTAAACCGTTTAACTTATTATATTTTTCGCTTTAATAAAAGTTATGAAGAACTATTTTCGCTCTAACTTAAAAAAAATTGTTGAAGGATGGTTCTTCAAGCGTCTTTTAAAAGTTGAATTAGCCAAAAATTTAATCAATCCTAAGTTAAGCAAATGCTTTTGAAAATACCTATTAATAAAGCAATTAATCAGAACATTAGAAATGGTAGATAGTTTGGAAAATAAAGCACAGACTGTCACTACATATGCTGGAACAGTGATTTTCAGCAATGTCAAAATGCTAACAACTGCGTAGGGTGTCCAAATGACAAAGTATATTGCAGCTGATAAAAAATTTACTTTCAAATATTCTATTTCTAAAATATTAACAAGTCTCTTTTTTTTATCCTGGCGAAATTTACAAGCTTTTCGACGATTAATTATCTTTGTGCTGTAGTATAACCCTAATGCTATTACAATTCCAGGCAAAATATTGCAGAAGATTAAAACTGCAAGAAAAAAAGATCGAGACTCAGGTTGACTCAACTTCCAATCTAATGAACAGCGTTTTTTATCGAGATCTATTTCGTATTTAGACCAACCAATAAAAGGAAACGTTGCCCAACTAAAACCATAAACATAACAACTTAAAATCAATGCTACTTTATAATAAAACGCTTTGCATTTTTGGAAATAAAAAAATGGGTACTTTACAATTACAGTTCTAATCAAAGAAAACAATGACATATGAGTTATACTTGTTACAGCAAACCCAAAAACTGCAAAACCGCTGACAATACACATTGGAGTTTTTCTCAACACTGATTCATCTGAAATTATTATCTGAGGTATTAATCCAATTATTGATTCCAGCAAATTTGTAATTGAGAGGCTTACAATAAATAAGTGCGTCAGTTCTACTTTCTTTACTTTAAACAGCATAATATAACTAGCTGTTGTGTTTAATACAACGGAAACGATGAGTATCAAAGAAAGAAAAATACTTGAAGTTATTCTGTAACAAGTCATTATGCAAAACCTAAAAATAAGTTAATAGCTATATATATTTAAGATTTGCTAAAAGGGTATTATCACTAAAAATATTTTTTCTTTAAAACTATTGTTATTTTAACATTTAACAATAGTTCAAACATTTCAAAAAATAAATAAATTATAAACTCATTTTTAAATTAAAAAATGTAGTAGTTGTTGTATTTCCTTTAAAAATACGTAACAATATTAAATATTTTTTACATTATCAACACCTCATTGGCTAACCCAAAAATCATCAATAAGATATTATCACATGCTGGTTCTAACCTTCAATAGATGGTGCCAACCTTCCATAGTTGTATGTCCCCCCAGGTAGCTACAATTAGAACCATTTCGATACTGATAATAATCTACTTTTAAAAAATGAAACATATCATTAAGGTTCCAAAATAAATGCGCTTATGAAAAACTACTATTTTTGCTTTATTATTTGCGGACAAAAATAAGTTTGCTTATTACATCTAAAGGTGCATACCATAAACATACACGATGTGAAAGAAATAACGTCATTTGTTTAAAAATAAAAATGCTCACAGTTGAATTGTATCATTAATTATAAATATGTGACTGTATTATTATCAGTATTTGTGTATTATCGCTTTAATTTAATTAATGCTTTATGAAACTATGCATAAATTAACTTGAAATATAACATATATAGCATGAAACTATGCATATATTATGAAACTATGCATATTTTAACTTAGAGTATTAAAAAGACATTTTTTAAAAACTAAAAAAAAGTCTTTTTTTTACAAAGCTAGGGAAGGTTTATTTTAGTATTAAACTTAAAGATGTTCGTTTTTACATTAACTAAGTTAATATTGTCCAAGATAATCAATTAAACTTAAAAAAAAATCATCCATGCTTATCCTAAGCTTAGCATCTCAAATTTGCAAAGATTATATACGGAAGAAGCAGATGTCATCTTGAACGTCATTAGAAAGCTACACGAAAATGGTCAATATATTTAAACTACGTTGAAAATTCAAAAACAAAAAAGTCTAAACTATATTATGTATTTACTTTTTTAAAGCTATTTATTATCCATATTTTGTACCAAAAATGTTTCTCTCTAAAAGTTAATTTTAGAGAGCCCCTATCCCATAGAGGGGCAGATATTTTGAAAATGCATGAAAATTATTTCTACTAAAATTTTAGAGGCTCATGAAAGTATATATATATATATATATATATATATATATATATATATATATATATATATATATATATATATATATATATATATATATATATATTATATATATATATATATATATATATACATATATATATATATACATATATATATATATATATATATATATATATATATATATATATATATATATATATATAATATATATATATATATATATATATATATATATATATATATATATATATATATATATATATGTATATATATATATATATATATATATATATATATATATATGTATATGTATATATATATATATATATATATATATATATATATATATATATATATATATATATATATATATATATATATATATATATATATATATATATATATATATATATATATATATAACAACGACGTTAATCTATATAAATAAATGTTCAACAAAGTTTTAAATATTTACCAACATTATCAAATAAACAAAATTAGAAGAAAAAAAGTAAAAATAGAAAAAGGCACATCAATGTGTTTCCAGAATATTAACAATTGAGAGGCATCTACTTTTTCCGATAAAAAAATTCGAATTCCTTCAAAATAACAATTTAATAAGCTCTTCTGTTTAAAACCAAAAGTTTTCCAAAAAGTGAAACTCCTTCAAAGTATAATAAAAACATGAATCGGGTAAAAAAAAAAAGGATATTGATGAGTAAATATATAAATAAATAAATGTATGAAAAAAACATTAGGAAAATCTATAATATCAAATTCATGTTTTGATTTCAATAATGAATTATTATTATTAAATGATTTGATTTGTCTAAAAGTCTAATAATAAAAATGACGCAATAAAATATGTTAATTGTGCAATCTTAAAGAATGCTTAAAAGTAACCAAACATGTTTTTGGTGTTTTCTATTACATTTAGGAGTTGGATTATATATTTTAACAAGCGTTGAATAAAGTTATATATATATATATATATAAATATATATATATATAAATATATATATATATATATATATATATATATATATATATATATATATATATATATATATATATATATATATATATATATATATGTATATATATATATATATATATATATATACATATATATATATATATATATATATATATATATATATATATATATATATATATATATATAATATATATATATATATATATATATATATATATATATATATATATATATATATATATATATATATATTAATGTTACACATAAAAAAATAAGTGTATAACAACACAAAAATTTAATAGCGTTTTAATTAGATGAAAGACGTTAAATATTGCGTATAAGTTTTTATTAATTTTACTACTTTCTGTTATCACCACATAATGTCAATTCAAAATATATAAACTTTAAAAATCTTCTAAAAATGATTATGCAGTTTATAACATAATGTAATATATAAATATTATATCTAATCCACAACTTATGTGTTTATGAAAATAGTACTTTTTAAAATATTTTTGTATTTATATATGAGTATCAAAAAAAATTTACATTCTCGCTAGTTGTTAATAATATATTTTAAAAATCTTCTAAAAATGATTATGCAGTTTATAACATAATGTAATATATAAATATTATATCTAATCCACAACTTATGTGTTTATGAAAATAGTACTTTTTAAAATATTTTTGTATTTATATATGAGTATCAAAAAAAATTTACATTCTCGCTAGTTGTTACTAATTTTTACTACATTGTTTTGTTTTTTTGATTTTATACTTCATGTTAATTTAATGTACTTAATATTCACGAGCGGTTCTCGATGATAAGAACTGAAGGTCTTCTGCGAGGATCCGCGTTCTTTTTTTGTATATATTTCTTTTTATTGTATAACGATTTGAAAAAAAAAAAAAAAAAAGTTAACCAAACTAAAAAGCAAGATGGGACCAAAACGGAGGAGGAAATAATGTAGATCGTAGAGCGAAGATTATAGAACAAAGATTGTAGAACAAGGACCGCAGAACAAAAATTGTTATAATATAAATTATTGATTGTTATATTAGATAGATGACAAGATAAAAAAATGTGACCGAGGTGCTCATATTACCCAAATCTAACCTATATATATTTATATTTAATATTTAAAAACGGGAAGTTTAGTTGACTCTAGTTTGATGTAAATATAGAATAATAGGACGAAATTCTCGTTGTGTTTATTGCGAGAAAGTTAAAAGTTAACCGGACTAAAAAGAACGACTAAAAAACGGACTGAAAAACGTAAATTGATAGTAGAACAAAGTCCGCAGAACAAAGATTGTTATAATATAAAATATTGATTGATAAACAATAATAAAATTTTCGATTGAACTTGTAAGAAGGGAATTTATGTTAGTTTAATGACAAGATAAACTTATGGATGAAACTGATTTAAAACTGAGTGAGTTGAGAACTGCATTTAGCAGTCTCAAAAGTAAAAAAAGTGAAGGTTTTGATAAAATTAGTGTTGATGTTGTCAAATCAGTATTTGAAGTCATTGAACCTTCTTTATTTCACATTTTCAATCTCTCATTAAAGTCAGGTATTGTTCCTAATAAATTAAAAATTGCCCGTATAACACCAATTTTTAAATCTGGAGATAAGTCAAATATTTTAAATTACAGGCCTATATCAATCTTACCTTGTTTTTCAAAATTGCTAGCGAGAATAATGTATAACAGACTTTATAATCATCTAACTGAGAACGACATGTTGTATTGTAAACAATTTGGTTTTTAAAAAAAAAATTCCACTGAACACGCAGTAGTTGAACTTTCCAATCAAATATCTAATGCCTTAGATAATGACTGTTTTACATTAGGAGTTTTCATTGATCTGTCAAAAGCTTTTGATACCGTAAATCACTATATACTAATAAAAAAACTCGAAAACTACGGTGTAAAAAATAAAAACTTACTTTGGTTCAAAGATTATCTGACTAACAGAAAGCAATTTTTATACTATAATAAAAATAATACAACTCCACACTCCATAACTTGCGGGGTTCCTCAGGGTTCTATTTTATGACCACTTTTATTTATATTGTACATAAACGACTTATACCTGTCAACAAATCTTTTAGACCTAATTTTGTTTGCTAATGATTCAAATCTTTTTTGTTCTCACCGAGATATTAAATCACTTTTTAAAATAGTTAACGAACAGTTATGTAATGTTAGTGCATGGTTCGTAAGTAATAAACTTTCACTAAATGCGGAAAAAACAAAATATATGCTTTTCCATAAAGTAAATAAATCAGAAAATATTCCTCTTAAATTACCAGATCTTAATATTAATAAAACTTATATTAAAAGGGAATCTTACATAAACTTTTTAGGAGTAAAATTGGATGAAAATTTAAAATGGTGTTCACATATAAATAGCATTGAAAAAATAATCTCAAAAAATATTGCAATGATGTTTAGGGCTAAACCCTTTCTAAATATATCATCTCTGAAAAAATTATATTTCGCCTTTATTCACAGTTATTTGTCTTATTGTAATGTTGTGTGGGCTAGTACTAGTCATACAAAACTAAAGAAACTCTACAATAAACAAAAACATGCATGTAGAATAGTATTTGGAGCCGACAGAAATGTTCGTTGCGAACCACTTCTAAGTGTGCTCGGTGCTTTAAATGTATATAAACTTAATTTACACCAAGTTTTATTGTTTATGTTTAAAACAAAAAAGGATTTGTCTCCTAAAATATTTCAATCTTATTTTAATAAAATTAACCATAGGTACTCAACAAAGTTTTCAGAAAACAATTTTGTTGTTCCAAAACATAAATTAAAATTAACTTCCTATTCAATTAAATACCGCGGACCTTATCTGTGGAAGAAATTTCCAGATATTGTTAACAAAAAGCAGACTACATTAGAGCAATTTAATGATCAATCAAAACGATTATTATTGTTCATGGATCTCAATAAATCCGACTTTAAATGTTTATTTTAAAGTAAACACAATAAAAAAAAATAAAAAAAAATAGATTCAATAATATCAATGATATATGATAATATGAATAGGAAAAGAAAGAAAAAGGAAAAAAAGAAAAAAAAAAAAAAAAAAAAAAAAAAGAATAAGAAATCCAAGTGATGATGTCACAAGTCCACAGTTACATAAATTATGCCAACACTGCTTGGGGGAGTACTGTAAAAAGTAAGTTAAAACTTCTTTATCGTCGTCAAAAGCATGCGATCCGCATAATTAACTATGCCGATCGTTTTACACACACAAAACCTCTTTTTACTGAAATGAGATTG